TAACAAGGCTCTAGCAGAATTATATTGTTATGCTGACATTAATTGTGTTTTTACTCTGGTGTCTAGGCATCTGAGCTTGGAACGATAGATCTGTAATGATTTATGGGTTTGTCTTTGTTGGGTGTGTGTTCGATACCTTCATTTCTGGTTCCTCTCTAGTTCTTAGGGAGTGTGGTGCTGTGTGTTGCCTGTGGGAAAATCTTCTGGGATCCTGATAGGTATGGCCACTGGTGGATCCATGTAAAATGTGTTTCTTGTATGAAGACCTTAGATTTAAAAATGGGAATGGGCTATTGTGGCAGAACAATTTTGCAAGGCGGAGTAAAACACAGTTGTCCACTAATATCTGCTTAATTAGTCTCCTGAGAATTGTGGTGGTGTATGAAGAGAGGCCAAAACTGAAGGTCTTATGTTGAGTTTGAGATGAACCTGAGGGATTGGTCTTGGAGTATGGGTGGAGAGGTGGGAACTGAAGTTAGCCTCCCTGCTTCCCTGGCAGGAGCAGCCTATGGGGTCCCAGGGATCTCCCTCTGGTGTTGGGGATGGGATGAACCAACAAGTGGGGTAGGGTGTTCTATAATGGGAAGATCTGTAGAACCCACTGGAGACTGGGAGAAGCACAGACATGTAGTGTATTTTCAAAAAAAAAAACATTAACACTCGTATTTATTTATTTTTTTCCACTTAAACTTTCAGTGATCTCTTTCCTATTTGAAATATGGCCTCTTCTACATTAATTTTTTCCCTAGAATGACACAGTGGGTTTGATTATTTAAGCTCACATGCATCACAATTATTGCAAGATCACAGATGAAGGGATTTCAGGAGAATTGTCACATTACTGGTGGGAACATTGTCAAAAGTGTCTCTTCCTTCACCATTGTTTCTGTTGGAACGTGACCCTCCTACATAGGCTTATAGGTTTGAACACTGGTTCAACAGCAGGTGGAAATCTTTGGGAAGTTTGTTGAACTTTTACAAGTTGAATTCTGGAGAGAAAAAGTACATCACCAGGGCTAGGCCTTGTGGTTTTACAGCTCAGCGGTAACTGAATACTTCCTGTTCTTTGGTTCCAGAATGTGACTGCTGTGTGACCAGCAGGTGCCTGATGCAATGTTCTCCCTGCACTCTGTCTCTTGAGAACTGCAAGCAAAAGAAACCATACTTCCTCAAGGTTGGTTTTTCTCAGAGTTGTTTAGCAAAACAACAATACAAATAGCTCAGACAACAATTAGCTATCACCATACATGAATTTTCAGTGGAAGGTGGATTCTCATGATGACCCCCATTATTATGAATGATTCTCTATGCGAACTGTTAGTACCTGTAGTATAAAGAATAACCGCAATACAAAAAACTATGGAGAAATAAATAACACCTTTGTTGATTAATAAAGCCTCAAGAGATACTCTTTCAAATTAGCAGAAATTATACACTATATATTATATATATTGTTGACAATGGTTCTTATTGTTCACACAAGGAACATTGGTTAGCCTAGAAACCATATACATACAACAAAATGGACTCACTTGAGCATGCATAAATATAATTAAATGAAATTGGATAGCAGCATGAGAGGTGATAACCCAGGGGAGGGCTTGAGGGAGGATAACTGGTAGGAGTTGGAGGAAGAGCAGGGAGGAGTGAAGTGATATAATGTATCCCGACCAAAAGCACTAAAAACCCCTAAAGAATATAAAACATCAGTTATATTTTGTCTTTTAAATGAATAATAAAGAATGCAAACAATTTTCATGATCTGACAGGCACTGAAGAAAATGATTGACAGTGTTAACATATTGAGCTGTATGTCAAGGGAAGGCAGCTCATCTTCATCCTCTCCTTATTCATGATGAAGGAGGCACAGAGAAACCAAAAATCTGAGCTCACAGCCGTACTTTGTGGCAAATCTTGTCACTATCTGATCTATTGTTAATCATTCCACAGTGTAGGGAGCCACCTGGAGGCACAGGTGGTCCTGCAGGTTGGAGGTATACAAGTCCATACCTGGCTTAGCCACATGGGGCTGAGAACCCTTGCCTGCACATGCGCAGACCAGCAAATGGCATCAACCAATCAGCATTCAAGCCTCTCCACCGTTTAAAAGCAGCTGCCTCTGGGCTCTGCTTCCTCTCTCTAATCTTTCTCTTGTCCCTGCGCTCTCTCATCTTTCTCTCTCTAAGCTTTCTCTCGTCCCTGCACTCTCTTCCCTTCCCCCAATTTTCCTCAATTGAGTGCTCCGAATAAAGACGTGATCAGGGAAGGAATTCTCGTTTTTCATGGCGTTCATTCCTGCTGGTCAGGAAGTGCGCCGCACCACAGTATGGTAAACTTTGGACAACTATGCAAAGTAACCACAACCACCCCAAAAAAGGAGAAAATGTTTAGTTCCTCCAACAGGAGATTCATATATTTATTCTTGCTCAACAGGATGGGCTATGAAGAATTAGAGATTCAATATTTAATGAGTATTACTGTGAATTTTTAATAGAGTTGAAGTCAATAAGATGAAAATAAAGGAAAAATAGTGAAACAACTAGTTGTCTGCTCTGTTGTGGTGTTAAAACACTGACAAAGACTATCTTTGAAGAAAAAAAGTTTATCTCATCTAATATGTTACAGTGTATTATTAAGGAAGACAAGTTAAGACAAGTTGTATATGAATCAGAGGCCCAAAAGGGACACTGTTTGCAAATTGATACTAAAGGTCTGCTCAGTTACCTCTCTTATATAACCCAGGGCCACTTGCCTAAGGTTGTGTTGCCCACTTTGGGCTCACATCAATCAGGAATTACCAAATTATCACACAGACCCATTGTATGGCAGCTCTTTCTCAGCTGTGACCTCCTTTGCCTAGATATGTCTAAATCAGAACTACATCTAACTGCTTGGAAAGCAATATGAGTACAATTTTACTATGACCTGCACGCTGAAGAATAGCTGAGAATCTCAACTGGGAGTGGTTTTGCCATAAACAACCATGGAGAAAAGGTGGATGCAGCGTGATGAGTGAATCCAGATCAGTCAGAAAAGTCAAGGCAGTTAGGACGGAAGATGGCAGCTACTTTTATAATTTCTTCAAGAGGGACTTGTACTCATGAGAATGCCAAGCAGAACTGCCCATCTTAGAGTCCTGAAGTGTAAGTAACATCTTTCATATGATGGACACAAGACAACAGACTTTTTCTGTAAATGTTCTTATTCTGCCATGTGCCCAAATCAGCAATATTCCTTTCCAGGGTCTCATCCATCATGGCTATTTATCCAGTTAAATAGAAGCATGTATGACTTTGGATTCAGTTCATCCCCATTAACTGTCTTTCACCTCTCTACACAATGCACAAATGCCATTTTTACATCTGTGACAGAATATAGCAAGCTAAAATTTCAAAGACATAGATTTTGATATCTCATTGTATTCAACAGTGTTAGGAAAGATTATTTTTGTCCTCTGAGTGAAGACTGAATCAGCATAAGAAGCCTGGGAAAGGGGACAGGTCAAGTTCAGGTCTGGCTGCACAATCACAGCTTTTATTGCACACAATGCCTTCTCCTGAAATGTGATTCCTGTTAGGTCATTCCAGAAGCTATTGCTGTCACTCTTCATGCAAGTGACACAGAATCAACAGTCCCAAAGTGACAATTCCTACCTATTCCTAGAGCAGTCCTACTAACAGTACATCAGAACAGAGGGCCTGCAACTGAAATACACATCACAAGGAGCAGGGAAGTGAGCTTCCAGTGCCAGCAGCTTCTCCAGTGGAAAAGCAACTATGTTTGTGCTGTCTAGAAGAGAGATGTGAGCTATGACAAGAGGGGTCCCTCAGATGAAGAACTTGAAGCTCTGAAGGTAACTTTCTCTTTTGGAAAGACAGGCTGAAGTTAGAATAGCATTCAATTCAATAGATTCTGCATGTAGGGTGAGGGTGTCATGAAATTTACACAGAACTATGCGTCTAGCCAGTCTACTGACATAAACTGGGCCAAGATCCCAAACTTCCTAGTGTAGGCATCTCAATATTTATAAAAACCTACCTAGTAGGAGTGAAACGGAATGTAAGAATGTCTTTTGAACTCAAATATTCTGACAAGGAAATTATACCCAGAATTTGTGAAAGCCTATAATAAAAAAGGTAAAACTGAAGAGTGAAAGGGGGAACAAGAGGGAGCTAGAAGAAAATGGGAAAGAAACAAGAGTTTTTAGGCAGAGACTGCTCGTTTGTTTCCTGCCTGCCCAGACCCAAAATAATCACACAGAAACTATATTAATTATAATAATGTGTGGCCAGTAACTTGTGTGTTTCTAGCTAGCTATTACATCTTAAATAAACCCATTTCTATTATTTTACCACAAGGCTTGTGGTTTACAGGTAAGGTTTCTGGTGTTTGTGTCCTTCTGCTGCTACACGACATCTCTCTGATTCCACTTTCTTTCTCCTAACATTCTTTCCTTCCATAGGCCAAAGGAGATTTATTCATCAATAAAAGTAACACTTATACAAAAGGACTTCCCACACCAAGAGTTTGGTAAAGGGGGAATAACATCAAATAGTGGGAGGTGATGAAAAGGTTCTGAGACCCAAGGAGAGATTAAAGAGTGGCCCGGACTTTAATGCTCAGTAAGACATTCATCTTTGCGTATGTGCTGTCTTGTAGTCACTGTGACACCTTCTGGAATTTGGTCTCAAACTGAGAGATGTAAATGATCCAAGTCTTCGTTCATCCCTGCACCAATACCAAATGCTTATCTCCAAATCTCCATCCATTATGCACAAGAATGCTGACAGATAAAAGACTATGAGGTTCATGGCTCTACAACTTCTTAACACATGTCTTCTTGTATTACAGTCTACACAGATACATAGAACTGCTGTTTTCACCTGACCAAAATATTTTTACAGTCTCTCTCTCTCTCTCTCTATCTATCTATTTTTCACACAGACACACACACACACGATGAGAGAAATAAAGACTCGTGTTCTGAATGCTGACTTTATTTTAGTAATTTAGGGAAGAGCAAGGGAGCTTTGCAGAAAGCAAAGGTGACTGTTCTGTTCAGAGTAATGAGAAAAGCTGAAAGGCCAAGCTCATGCCATGTCCCCTCATCACAGGTGGATTGAGGACAGGGTCCACTTAAGATTTGTGCAGGGATTAGATTGCATTCAAGCAGTACAGGAAGGCATCTTTATTATTCTCTTGGCACAGAAGGCAGAGAATCCACTGGCTCAGTTGTGTTCTTCTGATTTCCACTCCCACTGTCTAGTGGAGCATTTACCTGATGAAGGTCTGAAGTTGAGACCATGCAACCTGAAAGACATAGCACCACAGGATGAGTAGAAACTTTTATATAAAAAAATACCTTAGGACCTTCAGATTATGAAGATGGTGGGACTGATCTAATGGGAGCTCACCAAGTCCAGCTGGACTGAAACTGAATGAGTATGTGATCAAACTGGATTCTCTGAATGTGGCTGACAATGAGAGCAGACAGAGAAGCTACTGATAATGACACTGGATTTTGATTCTACTGCATGTACTGGCTTTTTGGGAGCCTAGTCTGTTTGGATGCACACCTTCCTAGGATGGAGGGGGTTTTGGACTTCCCACAGGGCAGGGCACCCTGACTTCTCTTAGGATTGGAGAGTGAGGGGTTAGGGGGAGTGGAGGGAGTGGGAGGGAAATGGGAGGATGGAAGGAGATGGAAATCTTTAATAAATAAAAAAAACCTTTCCTAGAAGTGAGGTGTGGACAAGATGCACTAGAGAGGAGAGGGATGATTATGTTGTCTTCCTCACATTAGATCAGAAGATTTCTCTACCATCAGAAGTTGAAAAGGGATGTCATATTGATTGACTCATGTTCTCATGTGATTGCCTGTCTTTGTATCTTTCTTCAATGACACCCTTTCCATTTAATATTTCTTGCTTTATCATTCATATATGACACTACATGCTGATGAAAGCCACGTATATAAAAGCTTCTTATACAAAAGATCTTGTTATAAACAAAAATTAAAAGGTAATTCCGGTAAAAGAACTAAAGTATTCTTAATTCATTCCTGTCCTGTTTCCCCAGGGAGATAGAATGAGGAGGTGAAGATGGCCTTCACAAGGAAGCAGATATGTACAGTGAGAGTCAGTACAGTTTTTAAATGTTTCCACACATCATAAAATTTAGGAATCTCTACATTGTCCTTTGAATGCTAAGATGATCCTATTTCTCTTGAGGAGTCCAAGACAGTAGCAAGGAACTTTGGGTAGTGGACAACATCAGTATGTTTATCCTCCTGGGGATGAGCAATGGGATGAAATGGGAAGATCCTCCCCATGCAAGGGTAATACTCATGTCAAGGGTGCCTTTGACTCAGCGAAGGGACATGTTTGTACTATTGCTTAATTTTGCTGTCACTTACTTGCGCTGGTCACCTTGAGGACTTCCTTCACTGTAGAGGTCAGAGGGAACTTTCCCTGGTTACAGAAAGAGCCAGTGAAGTCATCCATGCCAAGGGTCCAGATCATGGCACCTCCAAAATTGTTCTGCTGAAGCCACTGGGCCTGGTTTAGGAGAGAAGGTAAGAGTCACTTGGATTCTTAATTTTGGGGCCTCTGTACTTCCAACGGAATGAACATACCTTGATAAGAAAGCTCTTAACAGTGTCATAGCCAACCCACTCATTCCCTTGGTAGGCATAGGGAACTTTCTGAGAGCCATCCCAGATCTGAATGGCTCCTCTTGTGAGGACGGTACAAACCTTAAAAAAAAGACAAGAGGTCAAATTCTTAAAATATTATGCTATGTAAGAAAAATGTATTTTATCTTGTATTCTTTGTGCCTCGTTTTAAAATGAGTGTTATTTGTAATTAAAGACATTGAGTTACATTTTAACTGAGCAGTGCTCCCTGTGAGGGAAAATTCTCTACAACTAAACTATATCAAAGGTCCATTTTCTATTTTTATTCTTTCTTTTGTTTACAATTTTCCCCATTTTTTAGTTTTAGGTACAGTCTAGGTCTGTAGCACACAGTAAGTTTACACTATTGTCTCTCCTGCATTTGTGGCTTGAAAGATGTTTACAGGTGTGAAGCATCAAAGTTATCAAAATTATTCAGTCACAATTTTTCCCCAAACCCTAGTAAATGAACCCAGTCATTTTCATCAAGAAAAGAGCTGGATCACAGAGAAACACCCAGCTAGTGCTATCTTCAGATGCTCATCTAAGGTTCAGATTTAAGCACAGGATTTAGAGAATCCTCATAGTAAGACACATTCTTTAATATAACTTTCCTCTGTGCTAATGCAGACACACATCAGTATGTGGTCTGTTACATGAAGAAATAGTATTTAATGTTAAGCGCTATATATTTGTGTGACTGAAGAAGTATAAATTAAAACATCTTATAAATTTGGAAGGACATTTATTAGATCTAGTAGGAACTGGACAGAATGAATGTTCAAATTCAGCTGATTCCAATCTTCCACCCTCTGGCTACACCCTAGTTCTCAGCCTGAAATTGAAACAGCACAGAATGGCCAACCTACTGACCTCATAGTAGGTGAAGATCCCAGATTCCTGTGTGTAGGGACCTTCAGGGCCAGGGCTTGAGGTTGGGGCACCAATTCCATTGTTAGAGGGGTCAGTCAGATAGAAGGTTTGTGCATATGTTGCGAATCCAGCAATAAGCTTCTCAGCTGCAGCTCCATTTTTCACCCAGTACTTCATGATGTAATCCTGAAACACAGCAGGAAATTAAAAGTCCCAGACAGCTGCTGATGACTTGTGGTTATATATGTTAACTTCTCAATAGCACAGATTTGGTGATTAAGATAGATTTTAGAGGTTTTTCAAAAACATATATCTAAATTTATTGTTAAGGATTTATGACCAGTAGTTTGAGAAGCTGGGTATGCTTCTAGTTATTTCTTGTATTAACTTACTCATCATTTATATTGTCTCTAGTATGGTCTGCATTGCATTTTTTCAGGGGTTTACCATATTAATGAAGGCATTGGTGCCAGTGTCAGTTGGGGATTTGTAGAGAGGACTGTTTTCTCCAGTGTATCTCTCCTTATAGTCATGAAGATTGTAGGTCATGACCAGGATGTAGTCCAAGAACCTTGAGGAAAAGAGACTCTTAAATAATTTATGATGAATATTTTCCACATTTATTCAGAAAAAAGACATAATTTCCAAAACCTGTACATAAAGCATTGGAGCAACAAGACCCCTAAGGGTTAGGGTCCTCTGACTTAATTCCAAGGGATGAAGAAAGAGTAAGAGGGATCACTTACTGGGATAGCTGGGGTATTTCATATGCAGACTCAATGGTGGAAATGATACCAGCTACTGTAGCAGTGACCATCAGCCTTGGCTTCTTGCTTTGCAGGGATTCTTGCCGAAAAGCTTCAAACATTTCCTACAGAACATTTATGTATACTTCACATTCCTTTTGCCTATTCAAATATATTATGAATGAATACATAATTGTATAATAATTAATAAAATGCTTTTAATATTTTGCCTCTTCTTATCATGATACTATATCAAAAACTCATGATATATGACATTAAATAATTTGTCAGTTATTTAATAAACATGGATATTAGAAAATCTAACTATGCTCTACCTCAGTTTCTTATCCAGTCACCTACAAAATGTAGAGTCCATGTTTCTGGTCAGAGCTTCCCCACCCATCAGTACTCTGCCTGAGAAATTTCACTTGCAAGTTTTACTCACAGCCAATTTTCTATGGTGGAAAAAACCTGCTTCTACTTTCTCAGTAGCTGAACTATGTCATAAGGTCCAGATTTTATGGAATAAAATGTATAGTTAGCATAATCTAAAGAGAAAGTTGGTAAGAAATTGTTCATAAGTATAATTAAGTTACAGAGGAAATCAACATGTATTTAGGTTAGCTCTAATACACAAATTATTTTGTTATGCAAATTACTTTCAACCAATTGCTACAGACATTGCCATTTAGATCAGTGGTCATTTGACTAAGAATTTTTACTGGATGGATAGACCAAATAAAATGGGCTTATCACCTCACCTCAAATAATAAACCCTTACATATTGCATTATATATGCGTTGATTTTGTGTTTTTCCAAGGGCAGATAGAGAAGCAAGGACTAGGAATCGTAGCAGTGTCTGGAGGCATGGTTCCCTTGAAAACAGAGGAGTTGTATTTGATGATTAGTGCTATTAAATAAAAGTAACCTAAGGCTGACTTAGTGTCTTACGTGAAACTATTCAGAGGGGTTGAAGATCTGGCATTGGTGGTGTGAAAAAGAATCTGTCACTGGAAGCATATCCTATTGGCATAATGGTCTGAGTGAAAAATGAAAGACTAGGAAAATAAATCTAGGAAGTAAAGGTTCTGACTTGCAAGGGGATAGATATACAAAAGCATCTGTAGTCTTAGACTTTACACTATTTACTCATTTTGCTTCCTAATCACCTACGGTTGCTGATACCACCAGTAATGTACATTATCTCAGGTTCTTTTGCATGAACTCTTAGTTATTATTTATTCAAGATGTTTTGGGCTTCTGGATTTATCACACCCAACAGCTTTATGGATATTCATCAATTTCTACTCAAAAATTTCCTTTTCTGTGTTAACCATCTTACCTAACATTGTAAGGGTCAAATGATCTCAGCAGGAACATGTAGCTCTCAAACTTCTTCACATTAAAATGTTCCCCTGGTCCTATTGATAAGGTCTCTGTTATAGTCTCATGTACCTGACATCCTACCTTTGTGTCAAACCCCTGTTTAGTACAGATTTAACTTTTACATTGTTGACTGACTTCTATGGCTTTCTGTCCTAACTTGCCCCCTCAGATTTTTCCATCCTTCATGGTTAATGTCTAAATAAATACCTAAACATACATATGTCACAATTCTACACTCTAATCCTTCAAATAATTCCATAGAATTGGATAAGAATTCCAAATATTTGAATATACACAAAGTGCCCCATGATCAGATGCTAGTCATTTTTGCAAACTCACCTTTTCTATCTTACTCTTTGCTAATGAAGATCCCTATGTGTCATCCTCTCCTGATCTAACTGAACACTCCCTGAATTTGTCAAGACTGAAATCAAGCATCAATATGAGAAGTTCTTTCTCATCCTACCATAGCATAGACTTGGGTAAAAACTAGATGCTGAAATTTGGTCCTGTAGGGACTTTTATCAAATCAGTTATTTAAATGAGCTTGTAATTGCAACTATGGCTTCAAGATTCCACCTCAGATATACATTACTCAAATATAATTATGCTTAGTCATCTCAGTTTTTATATAGTTCAAATATTTTCCATATACCTTACTTATTAACAACAAACAGTCTAATATAATTGTTGCATGCATTGAATGCTACAATCAGATTGCACTGATGATTATAACATCCACTGTCTTTGGGCTCTTGGATAAGATATTGTCTACTATAGTTAGTTATTTGTGAAATAAAGACTCATGCTTAAGGTACCTATTTGACAGAAAATATGAAGATGAATCTTGATTACACAGAGTAATGCCTAGCACATAACTTGTTGCAGTAAGGTGTGGTGATATCTAAGGATCTTGGTAAGCCTAATATTCTCAAATATTCTCAACTCTAAACTCTTTTTAGACTTTGCTCTGCAACAATCCTTAGAAATGACAGGTTTTGTATCTTCTAGGACTCAAAACACTTTATCCTTTTTTTCACCTGCACCAGGACAGTGAAGAGATGCTTGTCCTCAGCATGGCTTCCAGGAGACCCTGGATATTGCCAGTCCAAGTTCAGCCCATCAAATCCGTAGTGGCGTAGGAAGTCAATAACTGACTTGATGAAAGTCTTGCGGAACTCAGGAGTGGACACCATGTATGAAAAACTGAGGAATACCAAAAAATGAGGTAAGACCATGATACAAACACATTAGAATCAAACTTGTGAATAACTCAATCTCTGCCTCTGAGTCCTTCACCTGGCCTCTCTGGTTTTCATCCTGCCTCCTTCCAAAACCGTGACTTTTCTCAGACATGGTACGTTAATATGGTTTCTTTTTTCTACTCCATGATTCCTGAATTTCCTGTGGTGTTTTCACCAACCAGATATCTGAGCTAACTCTGTTTATTTTTTCAAATGTCTTCTTAATAGAGGGACACTAAAGAAGTCTTCTTATGCATAAGCTTCCCTTTCTTTCTTCTTCTTCAGAAGACAGAAGAAAGGAAAGACATTTGTCACACCTCTGTCCATGACAGTTTTAGAAACAGGATGTTTAGGAGGCACTAACTCACAGCTCAGAGGGCGCTGTCCATTTGCATCATTCCAAAATTAAACACGTGAAAGCCAGGGTATCCTTTTCAATATCTTCCATTTACTATTTAGGCTCTAGTGAAAGATTTAACTAAATTTCAAAATTCTTGAAATGACATCTTTAATGCCCATAGTAATGTTGTGAAATAACAGACCTCATATAGAATAGAACTAGCTTGTTTTCATATAAATGAACCAGAGACTCTGGACAGAGCACTTACGGGGCAGATCCAGTATTACTGCCTCCAACAGCCAAGAGAGTTATCAACTCATTGTTCCTTTAAAGAAAAAGTTAAAGATGAGAAATTTTATAGTCTGTGGATCTCTCTTTTTTAAAAAGTTCTGTTATCTGTACTAAGACTGGTATTATTTGGTGTTGTCTAACATTATCCATCATACTATAGGTTAATAACATTGCATGACTGAAAGATTTATTTATTTATTTATAATATGTACATTATATGCTTTATATATACATGTACAAACTAAATATATATTTTAATAAATGCAGTTTAAGCCCCTTATGCCAGAATCCAATTTTTGATTTGATTTTCTGGAAGTAGTGAACTGTCAGGTATTTATATTCCTATAACAAAAAAAGTTAAAATTAGCTTCTATTCTCTCCTACAACTAGTTTTGTTGAATTTTCAAATACTGTATACCATAGTAATGTGAAATGTTTTCTAAGTCCTTGTCACCTGACAGTTGACTCCTGAGCCAAAAGGGGTGAGTATTGTATGCAGTAATCTTTCTTGAAATAATGTCTTATGCAATACATAACAGAAAGCTGTCCTTCTGTATCACACCATATGCTAAAATTATTTGAAACTGAAATTATTGAGTAAATATTAGATGTGACTTTATCAAATGATTGCAATAAAGCATGTGGTAAGCTCCATAATAGTGGCTGTGCATGATTTTTCTTGATATCAAATAAAAACAAAGGCAAGTCTATTCTTATTCCTTCAAGGTTATGTCAGGAGGTTTGACCCACGGTGTTGCTGCCTGTAGGATATTTGGCCTAAGGTATGGTTGTTGCTTGTTCTGAGTAACAACAGAATAGTAACTAAGGATATAATTACTTGGTGTTTCAAGTATTGAAGAGGTAATTACTCTGTTTGTTCTTTGTATCATGCTAAAAGAAGTCTTTTACCTTCTTCCCCCCTTTTTGATTGGGGTATATAAACTTATGGAAAATAAATGTGGGAGGATTCAGTAGTTACTGAGTTGCCCTCCCAACACTATTCTCTGTCTCTTTGTCGATTTCTTTTGTACCTCCATTTTTTCTACCTCCCTTTTCTTAATTTTCAGATTTCCCTCTAAGTATGAAGTAATAAGCCGGGTGGGACCCAGCTGAATCTGTCACCTGGATGCGGGATATGGCAGTCCCTCCTCATCTACCATTTGCAAACTCTTATGTTTTTCAGTCTGCTAGAGCTACAGTTCCCATTCAAAGATCAGGACAGGGTCTGTTAGGCAGACCTTCAACACTCAAAACCTATAATCTTTCCTGTCTCCCATAGTCCACTTGAGCTGCTTTTCTTGAGTCAGATAAGCTGATAAAGTCAATCCCTCCAAATTCCATGTCTTTAATTCTGGGGAATGCTGGAGATTACCCACACTAGTGACCTAGCCCATCCCAGATCACAAAACACTTCATGCCCACTTGCAGTGTCTTTTACCCACAATTCCTTTCTGCTTTCACATATTGAAAATGATTGTCTGAATAGAACTCTGGCAACATAGAAAATAAGACCAATAATAAACAAATAAGATTGCAAGAAAGATTATTCTACATGAAAAAGAAATTATTAGTGAAATGAAAGGGCATTCTACTGAATGAGAGAAAACGTTTGCTAGGCATCCATCACTTAGATGACTAGTGACTACAAAAGGCAATGGAAAAAAAAGAACAAATCTTAAATTTGAAGAAAATCAAATAGGCTAATTAATTTTGTATGGATTGTTCATACATACAAAAAAGAATAACAAAGAACCAAGAAACACTTAAAGAAGTGATCAACATCCTTACCCATCAGGAAATGTAGATGAAAACTGCTCTAAGCTAGAGCAGTAGTGGTGCAAAGCTGGTGGAGTAAACAACCCATATCTGATTTTATTTAGGACCATGCTATGAGATGAAATCAATCCCCATCATTGGTTAGGTGGCCAACAGCCTGAGACCAGAAAGGTCTGAGACAAAAAGGCAAACAAAATACAACTGTTCTGCTAAAGGAATAAAGTCATAAGACAACTAATGACATTCTACTGTACTCATAGGGAAGTGCCTTGATCAATCATCATCAGAGAAGCTTCCTCCTGCAGTAGATGGGAACAAATACAGAGGTACAGAGCTGGACAGTGTGCCCATGTGCAAAGAGTGAGAGACCTTGGAATACTTAGTTCTAAGTAGGATAACCTCATCAAGTCCCTCCCCTCCCCAAACCCCAGGGTAGAGGGAGCCCTGCAGAATAAAGGAAGAAAGTTTGTAAGAGGCAGATGAGATGAAGGACACCAAGGAAGAATGTTTTCTAAACACAGCAGGACTATCAGAGACTGGCAGCATGCTAAGGGACTACACAGGTCTGTAACAGATGGGGTCTTAACACTGAGAGGAGAGGTGGACACAAGCCCCTTCCCTAGCCCAGAAACTATCGTCAATTAATAAATACTCACAAATGAAACTTTAGTTTTCTCCAATGGAGTCTCTCTGGGGCTATATACTACTGTTAAAGATAGGTCCTTTATAGTGTATTTAAAAATACATAATAAATTCAATGGTGTCTTTGGATGTACTTTGACTCATGAAGTTTTGTCATGATATTTTTTTAACCTTACAGGTTTTTAGGATATATAGCATATGATGTTTGGTGGTTTTGTGCATTTACAGTGTTCCTACATATAAGAATGCATGTATCTCTGTGTCTGTATTTGATTCCAGAGTTTTATCTTCCATTCTTTTGTTTTTGTCTATTGTAGTTTGATTGTTTTTGTTTTATCTTATTTTATTTTTTATTATTCTGTAGATGCTTGTTTAATATTTAACAAGAGATGGAAAGGGTGCGAATTTAGATGAGAGGCAAGGTAGACAGGATCTCATAGGACTTAAGGTAGGGGAAACCATGCTCAGATTCAGTGTATGAAAAAAACCTCTATTTTTAATAAAAATTCAATAAATTTCAATAAAAAGAACTCAATAAAATAGTCTGTAAAAAATTCAGAATGGCTACCATTAAATTATCAAAAGACCAAAAATGATTGTTTTATCTAGCACAATAAAGCAAATATGCACTCCTGGTGTGTATGTAAATTAGTACGGTCAATTTAAAAATTAGACTGATGAGCACAACTTTTCTGTGATTGTGTCTTAAGTAGTCTAGTCTCACTGCAGAGACACTTGCATGTCTGCTTTCCTTAAAACTCTATACTCAATAGCTACATAAAAGAATCCCTTCAAATTCCCTTCAAGTGACAAATGTATAAGTAACATTTTAGGTTGTTATAAAGAAAATGAAAACTGTGAAATTTTGCAGATATCTATAAAAGTGAAAAATTACCAAGAGAAGCAACCCAGGGAGGGTAAGATAAAAGCAACATGTTGTCTTCTGCATGCCGATGTAACTGTTTATTTTCCTTGTGTTTACTATTAATACCTTAGTACACAAGAGAAGAGAAAGTGAATGATTTGGATAATGGGTAAAGCCTGAGAACAGTCCCATGAAGGTTAAATGGCTGTAAAGAGGAATATACATGTGGTGTAAGCTTTCAGCAGGAGGATGGGTGTAGGTTGAGGAAAAAAGGGGAAACAGAGGAAAGAGGATCAAAAAAAAGTGAAGTGCGTTTGAGAAAGCCACTGTGCAACCTCCTAGTTGGAAACACAGTTAACCATTTGGAGAGTAGGCACACAGAAAACCTACAAGATGAAGCAGCACTTGACTATAGGCAATGAGGCATTAAACAAAACCCATTCCAAGTGTGAGAACAGCTCTACAAGAGCCACTGATGAGAGAGGCCACAGAAGCTGCAAAATAGTGAAAGTTTTGCCAATGTTCTTGGTTCCACTTATAAAACTATATGATGAGACTGTTAGGATAGGTAGGAAAAGAAAGACTAGAAAATTATTATAAGAAAAAAAATAGGGGCGGGAGATATGACTCAGTGTTTAAGAGTTCTGGCTGCTCTTCTAGAGGTCCTGAGTTCAATCCTCAGCAACCACATGGTGGCTCATAACTATTTGTAATGAAATATGGTGCCCTCTTCTTACCTGCAGGCACACATGCAGTCAGAACACTGTTTATATAATAAATAAAAGGTGTTCTCCCTCCCTCCCTCTCTCTCTCTCTCTCCTAAAAAAAACACACAAAATAAAAAATAAATAAAGATTGATTCTAGAATACCAAATTGAGAAATTTATCATTGAAATGAGTGTGTATGGATACATGCCAGCCATGACCTGGAACATTCTAGGACATGGACAGGATGTAAATGTTTGTTTTGTGTGGTAAATATATACAGTCTCACTTAATACAAATGTAAAAGGATGGCATTGTCTGGGATCGCACATTAAAAAATTGCTTCTGAGCCACATTTTAGAAGAAGAGACACTACAGACACCAAACAGATAGTTTTTCCCTTCTCTGACCTGTTTTTCAGGGTATGTAAAATTTGGTAGTCAGTCAAGTCACCCATTCTTCTTTGTGTGATTCTGTTGTTCTGAATCTCTGCAAAGGCATAGATGAGGTGAGAACACAAACAAGGGTCAATATCACCAACACTGAAACTTCCCAGTCCTGGCCTGTCCTGGGCCACATTGTTGTAGTAGCACATCAGCTGGTAGGAAAAACCTGTGGGATGTAAAGAGTAAGAACAACAGTATGCGGCAGGTGACAGTGGGGTCTGCTGACTTTTGTTTCTTCCTCTTAGCCTTCCTGTATCTCAGGTACCTTTTATCTCTGAGAACCAGATTGTGTGAAGACTCGAGCGTGAGTCCAGGGTTTCTAATTCATGCACTAGGCACTCGCTGAGTTTTGTTATTTAGAGTTGGTAGAGGTCCACATTCAGAGCTTGCATGAGCACAGGAGCTCAGTAAGAATTCATGCTCACCATTCCTGAGCTCTACAGTTACCACCAGTTCCTTAACTCAGAGGGAAACACGGCTGAAGACAACACAGATGGCTGAACTAAGAGTTATTCCTTAATGATAACCCATCCCTTTCCCCAGTTGGTTTATCTCCTCACACTGTTTTACAAGTACACTAATATGATGGTATGGTGTAGGAGTTCCTTTTGTATGTGTGCTGCTTTCATTGATTAGTGAATAAAGAAACTGCCTTGGACTAGTTCATAGGGTGAAACTTAGATAGGTGGAGAAAACAGAACTGAATGCTGGGAGGAAGAAGAGCAGAATCAGAGAAGCCATGGATCCTCCACCTGAGATAGATGCTGGTTAGAATCTCCAGTAAGCCACTGCCACATGGCCAAATAAGAAGTTAGAGCTAATGGCCAAGCAGTGTTTTAATTAATACAGTTTCTGTGTGGTTATTTTGGGTGTAAGTAAGCTGGGCAGCTGTGACAAACAAGCCGCCCTCTCTTCCTGCAACAATGGTATAATTTTAAAAGGACACACAATAAGTAGACATATGTTGTAAAAACAAATTTGATAACGTGAGGCTTATGGGAGGAAAAGACTTTGTCAACAAAATGAGGTAACATCACTAACTTACCCAGCTGGGCATTCAGCAGAAGTGTCAGATCTACAGAGGGAGAACAAACATGGACTTAGGGGTAGCTGTTAGAATCCTTAGCATTTCTGAGGAGTCTGGGCAATTCTACTAGAAGTTGATCAATATTAAATAAATAAATCTTCACATATGTACCAAGGGCGACCTTTTCAATTACCATACATACATTTCCCTCTACTCTTTATGAATTCAGAAAACATGTAAAGACACTCCTGTTTCTCCTTCTGTGTCATAATTGAGGATAATTATTTTCAGAAATCAACTGTCTACACTAGCAACATGCACTAAAAATTTTACAAATTGGTTCTTTTCTGTGACTAACATTCAGAAATACCTGGCTGTCAGAGCCCTTGTGATCCCAGACTTCCAACACTTGAGGTATATACTCAAGCATCAATCAATACCCCCTCTAGATGTGTTTTTCTGAGTTATCTTTGAAGGTTTTTCCCCACAGTTAATATGATGCGAGGAGCCACATATCTATTATGGGCTTCAAAAGCAGTATTTGGATTTTTTAAAGTGGGTTTCACCTTTTCTTTTGTTTTTGGCTTTTAACTGGCAATCTCACTATTAGCTCAGACTTTCCTTCACCATTGAACCTCCTAACTCCTGATAGATGAATGGTAGACATCTGACATCACCATGCCATCAGACCACTTGTACTCTAAATCTCTTACACATTGAGCTTAGGGTCATTTGAATATATTCAGTATTTTAGCAAATTTAGAGCAGTTGGTAGATTTTCAATGAAATGGCATAAACAACTACTGACACAATCTCTTTGAAGGCCCCAATTCATAAAACTTGCACTTTAATTCACCAAAACTACAGCATGTTCAAGGACAAATGAGAAAAAACATTCTCCAATGTAAGGGGCAAAGAACACATGGCTAGGTCTAGCTCTTCCCAATCATTTTCATCTCTGTAGAACTCTAGTTTCAAGACACTATCAGATTCATAAGCACAACTCCAAAGTCAGGCAAGAGGTAAACCAAGAGGAGCAGCAGAATGACTGGCTTGCACCAAGGAGAAAAGAGCATGTGCATTGCACATGAATGAGACTTTCTGCTAGGCCGTGGCATTGACATCAAAGAAGAAGTGTCACAATAGCCCATGGTGGAAGATCATGCGAAATCCTGGTTAAAGAAGAAGAGAAAATAAATAAGAAAATACAATAAATTTTATCATAATAATACTGTACTATGAAATATGCTCCTTGGTTGTCAGATTTTGAGGCAAAAAATAGGCAAGACTGAGGCTCTAAGTCTGATTACCAACTCACCTGTGACAAGAATGAGCCTTGCCATGGTGCCTTTAGGACTGCCCCAGCTCAGCCTCCACTGCCTTTTATGCATTTGAGAGCCTGCTTATCACAGATTTTTCCAGATGAAAAGTAAATACTTTATGGGTTTCTGTGGGGGTAGTCAATAAATCCAGAGATCTACATACTGACTCAGCTCCTTCAGCATCTCACCACCATCACCTACTTACCTGTCCTTTATTGGAAAAAATGTTATATCTCCTTGCATTATGCTGGACATAATAGCCCTAGAAAACATTCATTTTATCAGTATCTTTGAAGCAGGGGTCTTCTGTATATCAGCTGATCAAATATAAAATTAAAGTTTTGTTGTGGAGATATTTCATATTAGGCATAAAATCACATTCCTCTTGAAAGGCAAACAAAACAATTCTGCAGAATTTATTATCTACTTTCCACATTTTTTCTTCCTGGAATTATTGCCATGGAAGTCTTTAGTACCCACTTGACATAATAAATTCTAAGGAAATTCTTAGAATCATAAGAACATACTTTAAAATCCCTTCACTCCACTAAATTTGAAAGTCTAAAAGAAATGGATAGTTTTCTTGATAGGTACCACGTAGTGAAGCTAAATCAAGATAATATGTGCATTTTGAACAAACTTATTATTCCTAGTGAAATAGAAGCAGTCATTAAAATTTTCTCAACCAAAATCCACCCAGGATCAGATGTTCTTTGTGCAGAATTCTATCTGAATTTCAAAGACAAGTTAATGCCTATACTCTACAAATTAGTCCACAAAATAGAAAGAACACTGATCAATTTTTTCTATGAGGTCTCCATTACCATTATACCCAAACCACATAATGACCCAGCACATAAAGATAATTACAGGCTAAATTCCATAATGGACATATATGCAAAAATACTCAATAAAATACTTGGAAACTGAATCTAAGAACACATCAAAATCATTATCCACTGTCATAGTTAGGGTTTCTATTGTTTTGAAGAGACACTAAGACTCCCTGTGTGTGGCTTAAGCATTCTGAGATCTCAAAATCTACCTTACAGTGACACATTTCCTCCAACAAACCCACACATACTCCAGCAAAGCCATTCCTTATAATATTGACACTCTCTTTGGGGGCCATTTTCTTTCAAACTTCTGCATCCTATTCCCATGTCCCCAAAGATTGTAGTTCTATCATAATGCAAAAATACATTTCATTTAGCTCCAAATTCCCCTTAGTCTATAACAACCTCAAAATGCTTAAAAGTCCAATGTTCAATGTCTTTTCTGAAATTCATGCAATCTCTTAACTGCAATTTCCTATAAAATCTAAATCAGAAACAGATCACATACTTCCAACATTTAATGACACAGGATATACATTACTATTCCAAAACATAGGGTCAATTTGGCACAAACTTGAGTCATGTGAAGGAAAAAAGCTTCAATTAAGAAAATGCCTCTCCTGTAGCAGTACCGAGGAGTTCTACCCAGAGAGGTGAGTAGGTGCTAGCCTGGGAAGAGAGCACAGCCCCTCCCCCCTCAGTTTCTGTGGCAGGGTCTTCCCTGTTTCACTGGATCACCCCCTGCCCCCACTGCCCTGTACTCTTGTCTCCTGGGCCCTGAGAAAACCAGCTACCCCTGTAGCAGTGCCCAGGAGTTCTACCCAGAGAGGTGAGTGGATGCTAGCCTGGGCGGCCAGCCCGGAGAGAGCACAGCTCGTCCCCCCCTCAGCTTCTGTGGCAGGGTCTTCCCTGTTTCACTGGACCCCTCCCTGCCCCCACTGCCCTGCACTCTTGTCTCCTGGGCCCTGGGAAGACCAGCTACCCCTGTAGCAGTGTCCAGGAGTTCTACCCAGAGAGGTGAGTGGATGCTAGCCTAGGCAGCCAGCCTGGGAAGAGAGCACAGCCCCTCCCCCCTCAGCTTCTGTGGCAGGGTCTTCCCTGTTTCACAGGACCACTCCCAACCCCCATTGCCGCTGCACTCTGGTCCCCTGGGCCCTGGGAAGGCCAGCTATCCCAGCTGCAGTGCTGAGGAGCTCTATCCAGAGAGTGCTAAGGAGTTCTACCCAGAGATTGTGGAGGAGTTTCACCCAGAGAGGTGGACATGGGCAGGCGCCAATGCAAGAATTCCTCCAACAACCTGAAAGGCAACATGACATCTCCAGAATTCAGGGAGCACGAAATGAGAAGAATTGAACACCCTACTCCAGAAGAAATAGAAGAAATCGACTCTAAGCGCTTCTTTATGAAAATAATAGAGGAACTTAAAGAGGAGGTGAAAACCTGCAGGAAAGAAATGGAAGATAAGTATAACAAAAAAATTGAGGAAATGAGTAAAAATGGAAGAGAAATGTACCAAAATGTTTGAAGAAATGAGTAAATCTGTAAATGAAATTCTGGGAAACCAAGAAAAAACAATCAAACAAGTAATGGAAACAGTTCAAGATTTGAAAACTGAAATGGAGTCAATGAAGAAATCACAAACCGAGGGCCGGCTGGCTATGGAAAATCTAGGTAAATGAACAGAGACTCCAGAAACAAGCATAACCAACAGAATACAAGAGATAGAAGAAAGAATCTCAGACTCTGAGGACACCATAGAGAAATTAAATGCTCTGACCAAAGAAAACAGCAAATCCAACAAATTCTCATCACAAAACATTCAGGAATTGTGGGACACAATAAAAAACAAAATCTAAGAATAATAGGGATTGAAGAAGGAGAAGAACGGCAGAACAAAGGCCCAGAAAATATATTCAACAAAATTTTAGAAGAAAACTTTCCCAACCTAAAGAACGATAATCCTAGGAAGGTGCAAGAAGCATACAGAACACCGAATAGACTGGATCAGAAAAAAACATCCCCTCGCCATATAATAATCAAAACACAAAACATACAGATTAAAGAAAGAATATTAAGAGCTGCAAAGGAAAAAGGTCAAGTAACTTATAAAGGTAAACCTATCAGGCTTAAACTGGACTTCTCTATGGAAACCATGAAAGCCAGAAGATCCTGGATAGAGGTACTGCAGAAACTAAGAGACCATGGATGCAATCCCAGACTACTATACCCAGCCAAGCTATCATTCACTATCAACGGAGAAAACAAAATATTCCAGGATAAAAATAAATTTAAACAATTTGTAGCCACAAATCCAGCCTTACAGAAAGTAACAGAAGAAAACCGCAACCCAAGGAATCCAACATTGCCATCACTGCCTACAATAACCCACATATCTAGTGACCCTTAACAACCACAACTCAAAGAAGAGAAACACACAAACTCTACTACACATACACACACACACAAAAGTAATAACTGGAATCACAAACACTGGTCATTAATATCACTTAATATTAATGGACTCAACTCATCTATAAAAAGGCACAGACTTAGAGATTGGATACGAAAACAGGATCCAACATTCTGCTGTTTACAAGAAACACACCTCAAACACAAAGATGGACATCTACTCAGAGTAAAAGGTTGGGAAAAGGTTTTCCAAGCAAACGGACCTAAGAAACAAGCTGGTGTGGCCATTCTAATAGCTAACAAAATTGACTTCAAGCTAAAATCAATCAGAAGAGATGGAGATGGACATTTCATACTCATAACAGGAACAATTCATCAGGAGGAAGTCTCAATCCTGAATATATATGCCCCTAATATAAAAGCACCCACGTACGTAAAAGAAAAACTTTTAGAACTCAAGGAAATCATCAAACCACACACACTAATAGTAGGAGACTTCAACACACCTCTCTCACCAAAGGACAGGTCAATCAAACAGAAACTCAACAGAGAAATAAGAGAATTACTAGAAGTAATGAATCAAATGGACTTAACAGACATCTATAGAACATTCCACCCAAACAGGAAAGAATATACCTTCTTCTCCGCAGCTCATGGAACCTTCTCGAAAATTGACCACATACTCGGTAACAAAGCAAACTTCCACAGATACAAAAAAATTTCAGTAACCATCTGTGTCCTGTCGGATCACCATGGTATAAAGTTAGAATTCAATAACAATTCGAACACCAGAAAGCCAACAAACGTGTGGAAGTTGAAGAGTCAACTACTGAATCATTCCTGGGTCAAGGAAGAAATAAAGAAAGAAATTAAAGTCTTCCTTGAATTTAATGAAAATAAAGACACAACATACTCAAACCTATGGGACACAATGAAAGCAGTGCTAAGAGGAAAGTTCATAGCACTAAGTGCCCATTTAAAGAAAACGGAGAAAGCACATATTGGAGTCTTAACAGCACACCTGAAAACTCTGGAAAAAAGAGAAGCAGACTCTCCCAGGAGGAGTAGAAGATTGGAAATAATCAAACTGAGGGCTGAAATCAACAAAATAGAAACACAGAAAACAATCCAAAAAATCAACAAAACAAAAAGTTGGTTCTTGGAGAAAATCAACAAGATTGACAAACCCCTAGCCAAACTAATCAAAAGTCAGAGAGAGAACACTCAAATTAATAAGATCAGAAATGAAAAGGGGGACATAACCACAGACACAGAGGAAATTCAGAGAATCATTAGATCTTACTACGAAAGTTTATATGCCACAAAGTTGGAAAATGTACAAGAAATGGATTGGTTTTTAGATAAATACCATTTACCAAAGTTAAATCAAGACCAGGTGAACAATCTAAATAGACCTGTTAGTTGTGAAGAATTAGAAGCTGTTATCAAAAACCTCCCGACCAAAAAAACCCAGGGCCAGATGGTTTCAATGCAGAATTCTACCAGAACTTCCAAGAAGAGCTGATACCTATACTCCTTAAGGTATTTCACAATGTAGAAACAGAAGAGTCATTGCCAAAGTCATTTTATGAAGCTACAGTTACCCTGATACCAAAACCACATAAAGACACAACCAAGAAAGAGAATTACAGGCCAATCTCACTCATGAACATTGATGCAAAAATTCTCAACAAAATCCTGGCAAACCGATTCCAAGAACACATTAGAAAAATTATCCATTATGATCACGTAGGCTTCATTCCAGAGATGCAGGGCTGGTTCAACATACGAAAATCTATCAATGTAATCCATCATATAAATAAACTGAAAGAAAAAAAATATGATCATATCATTAGATGCTGAAAAAGCATTTGACAAAATCCAACATCCTTTTATGATAAAGGTGTTGAAGAGATTGGGGATACAAGGATCATACTTAAATATAATAAAAGCTATTTACAGCAAGCCAACAGCTAACATCAAACTGAAGGGACAGAAACTCAAAGCCATTCCATTGAAATCAGGAACAAGACAAGGCTGTCCACTCTCCCCATACCTCTTCAATATAGTGCTAGAAGTTCTAGCAATAGCAATACGACAACATAAGGGGATCAAGGGGATTCAAATTGGAAAAGAAGAAGTTAAACTCTCGTTATTTGCAGACGATATGATAGTATACATGAGCGACCCCAAAAACTCTACCAAAGAACTCCTACAACTGATAAACACCTTTAGTAATGTGGCAGGATACAAGATCAACTCCAAAAAATCAGTTGTCCTCCTATACACAAATGATAAAGAAGCAGGGAGGGAAATTAGAGAAACTTCACCTTTCACGATAGCCACAAATAGCATAAGATATCTTGGGATAACTCTGACCAAGGAAGTGAAAGACCTATTTGACAAGAACTTTAAGTCTTTGAAGAAAGAAATAGAGGAGGATACCAGACAATGGAATGATCTCCCTTGCTCTTGGATTGGGAGGATCAACATAGTAAAAATGGCAATTCTACCAAAAGCAATCTATAGATTCAATGCAATCCCCATCAAAATCCCATCAAACTTCTTCACAGACCTTTAGAGAACAATAATCAAGTTTATATTGAAAAACAAAAAACCCAGGATAGCCAAAACCATCTTATATAATAAAGGAACTTCTG